TCTAAATCCTCAAACTGTGAAAGGGAAGGTAAGCAGGCTCCTTCAAGTCTTTTTCTTTTTTTCTTTTTTTTTTTTTTTTTGTCTTTTTTTTTCTTTATTTTGGAGAGGTTTTTGCTACAGAGCGTGTGCACTCACTAGAAAGAGAGACAGAGAGACAGAAACTGAGAAATCACTCCCCAAGGGGGATGGCCATGCTGCAATACCTTCTCCTCCATTCTCCTCTCAGGATCTTGGGCACACACGCACATGCACCCGGCGTGAGTTTAAGCCACCAGGTCTGGGACTCAAACCGTGGTCAACTACATAGGAGTCCAGCGACATAGGCATTACGCTAACTGCTGGTCCCCTCAAGTCTTTTTCTATAAGGACCTGAATTCCATTCATGAGAGTTCTGCCCTCATGACATGATCATTTTCTAAAGATTCTACCTCTTAACATGATTGCATTGAGGGTTAGGTTTCAATATATGAATTGGAGCTGGAGCAGCCACATGCTGACCATAGCACCCCTTTGTGCTCACTTAAACCAGGCCTCTATCACTTCCCAATGGACTGTTGCAAATAGTTTCCCAAGATCCTCTCACTTCTAGGCTTACCCTCTTCAGCCCACACTTGCAGTGAGCACAGAGTGAACTTGTACAAGCACGAATCTAAAATAGTTCTGTCACTCCTTGTCAATACCCTCCAAGGGAGCCCTGCAGCCTACTTCAGGATGAAGGGCCAACCCCACCTGTGCTGACTTTGGCAGGTGAGCAGATCTCTGAGTACTCTCTCCCATCCTAGACCCAGGACCACTGTCACTGTCATTTTCTTGCTCAATGCACACCTCCATGCATCTTTCCCAGTTGTATTCAGGGCCTGCTTCCTGTTGATGAGCACTTGTTCATCTTTAAATACTCAGTTTCATGGGCAGTGAAAACTTTTCTATTCACCCACTACCATCCTCCCCTGGTACCAGTCACTCTTGGATTTTTATTGGGTCGTTCGGAAAGTTATGACACATTTGCATCGGAAAAAAAAAAAAACAGAAAAATATGTCATGACTTTCCCAATGACTTAATTCTCATCATACTCATACCAAAAATATATTTGAAGTGTTACATGTGTTAATCAGGTTGGTGTGGCCATTCTTTCTGTACCTGCCCTTTGTCCTATCTGATCCACCAGATGCCCATCAGAATCTTCAGTGCACAGGATTGCTTACTTGATAGTTTTCTTCTGCTAACTGGGAAGAATATTGTTAAGATCATCTTGTTTCCCCAGTATCCAGCATAGCACTTCAAATACAGTAGGCACTTCATAAACAGTTAACGAGAGAAAATGGATGTATAACAAACACTAAGTTCTTATCAGCATATGAGGCATAACACATACATGAAAAGAATTTTACAATGTCATAAAGAAGCTACCACCAAGCGCTCCTTGGCAGGCAGAGAAAGTAAGTAAGGGAGGAATTCTCCTCTTGTGTGAACCCTGCCATAGACTCCTACCAGCTCCCTGTGCCCTTCCTTTCCTTCTGCAGTTGGTAGCCAGAGAAATCGTACATGAGTGGAACCTTGGTTCAGGCCCACTACTTTTCAGAGAAAACTAAAAGATATTCCCTAGCTCTGTAGCCTCCTGTCCCACCCTCTTCTCCTGGTTCTCTCCATTCCAGCCACATGTATTTCTGCCAGTTCTAAGTATGTGTGCTGCCCAGTCCCAGCACAGGACAGCTGTCCACACCATGCTTTTGCTGAACTCTCTTCCCACCTGCTATGGTTTGGACAATGGTTCATCCACAATGGTACTTGGTCTGGAAGTCTGGCCTCTAATATATAATAGCATTTGAATGAGGTAGGGTTTAAGGGGAGGGTACCGTTTTGTCAGCAGGAGGAATGGGAGAGCCAAACAGAGAATGTGAATAATTCTGTTTTCTCTTTCTCTCTCTTATTTTTTGCACAAGCCTGTCCTCCTTTCTCTGTTTCTGTTGGCCATATGGACATAGCACTGGAGGCCAGTCTGTCTGAATTTTCCAGCTGCCAGAATGGTGAGCCAAATAAATGACTTTTTTTTTTTAAATAAATCACTTGGGTATTTCTATTTGGCAAAATGGTAACAGACTAAGATACATCCCTCCCTCACTAACTTAATTCCTGTCAGCCTCCAGCTTTCAACACATTCACTGTTGGCTCAGGGCCTCATGTCCCTGATGGTAGAGGTCAAGGCCCCTTATAACTCTGCACAGCAGGACTGAACAGAGATGTATGTACACTTCTGCCAGTTCATACTCTGGGGCCCCATTGTACTGAGTTAGTATCAAATGAGAGAAAAAAGAATGAGGTAGCTTCTAACCTGTCTTCTATGGGCAAAAACTGTCCAAAATAAATAAATAAATGATCAACTTTTCTGTGGATTCCCTTGGATTTCCTGTATAAATAATCATGTCATCTGCACATAGAGATCATTTTACTTATTCATCTTCTACTTGAATGCCTTTTATTTCACTCTCTTGTCTGATTGCACTGGCTTGGACTTGCAGCACAATGCAAGTTGAAAAGAACTGAGGAAAATGGAGCAGCATTGTCTTTTTCCAGTTTTGATATGACAATGGCTATGGACTTGTCGTCTGTAGATTTTATTGTGTTGAGAAGTATCCCTTCTACACTGATCTTGCTGAGAATCTTAATTATGAAAGGATGTTGTAATTTATCAGATACTTTTTCTGCATTGAGTGATATCCTGCACAGCAAAAGAAACAATAACAAGGTGAAGAAATAACCTTCGGAATGGGGGAGAACTTTCATAAACTATGCTTGGGACTCAAGAAGCTTAACGCCCCACACTTGTAGTGAAGGGGGTTACACAGTTTACATTCATTAACTAAGCTATGCATCTCAAGAAGCTTACTCCAAAGAAAAACCAAACAAGCCAATTTTTAAAACGAGCAAACAAGCTAAACACACAACTTTCCAAGGAAGATATACAAATGGCCAAAAGGCAAGTGAAAAATGTTCAAGATTTCTTATCATAAGGGAAATGCAATCAAAACCACAATGAGATATCATTTAATCCCAGTTAGAATGGCAATGATCAGAAACATTTTAAAAATGATAAGTGCTGGTGAGGTTGTGGTGAAAGGGGAACCCTCCTACACTGTTTTGGGAATGTAAGCTAGTACAACCACTATAAAAAACAATATTGAGGTTGCTCAAAAAAAATCTACAAATAGAGCTACCAAATTCCTACTCCTGGGTATTTACCCAAAAGTTAGGAAAATACTCAGTCATACAGGCATTTTCCCATCTATGTTTATTACAACATTGTTTATCATTGTTAAGACACAGAATCAACCTAAATGCCCTAGAATGTATGACTAGACCAAAAAAATGTGGCACAAATACACTATGACCTACTTCTCAGCCATGAAAAATAATGAGATCCTGTCATTTGATACAAAGTGGGCAAATATAGAAGATTTAATACCAAGTGGAACAAGCCAGACTATGAAAGACAGGCATTGTATGTCCCTGTTGTTTGTTTGTTTGTTTTTTGGCTGGTTTTTTTTTTTTTTAAGAGAGATTTTTGCTATAAGGCATGTGCACTTGCTGGAAAGATAGAAACAGACAGAAAGCAAGAAATTACCCCCCCAAGTGGTTGGCCATGCCTCAATCTCTTCTCCTCCATTCTCCTCTCAGGATTTTGGGCACACACACATATGTGCCCAGTGTAAGTTTTAAGCCACTGGGTCCAGATCTTGAATGATGGTCAACCATGTAGGAGTCTGGTGCCTGGATCACTATATCACCTACTGGCACTGCCTCTGCTTAATATATACCAAATGCCTGTACTCTATGGCAGTAACTGAAAGACTAGAAGGTATAATAGTAGGGAGAGTAAGCATAGATCAGAGACTGTATAGGAAGGGGTGAATTGTGGTGGGAAGGGGCTCAGGAAAAAAAAAAAGCATGCACACTGGGAAAAACCACATTGCAAGCTGTTAAGATGTACAATGATTAAATAAAAGCAAACAGAAAATAAATAAAAATAATTTCTCAGCAGTTAATAGGAGGCATCTGCTTTAGGAGGTACAGTCATGCATCATAAATAACATTTTGGTCAGTAATGGACTGTGTATATGATGGTGGTCCCAGAATATTATAATGGCCTAGGTGTGCAGTAGGCTATACCAGGTTTGTGTAAGTACACCCTCTGATGTTTGCACAATGACAAAATCACTTAAAGACACATTTTTCAGAATGTCTCTCTGTCATTAAGTGAGGCATGACTATAATTTAGCAAACTTTTGTTGATTACCATGTGTGGGTGGGGAACGGTCATGGCACCTCCCAGGGGCTAATCAGAGCATCCTCCACACTACACCAGGGACAAAGTACTTCCTGAGTGAATATTCAGAACAATACAGTAGCATGGTTTTTTCTCCTCATTACATTCCGAGATTTTTTCAGTGCCCTTAATAACTGAAGTCTCTCATTTCTCTGCAGGTCACCTTTCAAACTTGGTGCTATTTACAATTATCTAACTAAAGGAGACAATCATCTCCTGGTGTGCCTTGGCCAACTTACAGGCATGAGCCCAGGCCTGGGCTCAGCAGAGGCAATGAGGAAAAGGCAGGCCATCAGCCAGAGGGAGAGGCCCTCCCAGAGCTGACTCCAGAGAAGCCACACTTCCAAATACTTCAGGAGTTAACTCACTGAAGAGAAATTTGAAGCTCAGATGGTTCTCTTTTCACTCTAAGGAAAAGGTGGAGACTCCAGGCATCCTGCAGCAGGGATGGGAGCATACACCCCAGAGACAACTGAGGAAGTACAAATGAGACTATCAAGTACAGTCCCTACAATATTCAGGTCATTTGTCTCTGTGTTTAAATTAGCATCTGAATCATTCTTGATCATCAGATTTTCCATGTGTCTACCTTATTTCTGTAGAATAAATAAGAGAGCAAGAAGCTGCCAAGAGAATACAAAATTGAGATGGCAGTGATTATGGATGGGTAGCCTTTACCTGAAAGATGACTTGCTGTGGTTCTCGGCCTTCGAAAATAGAAAATGTCATGGGTTTCAGGGGGCCACTAAACTGTCCCTCTTGGCCATATCCAATTACCTGTTAACAAAGAAAAAGAGAAAAATTAGCAATTTTTACAAATTTTATTAGGGTTGTGGAACCAATACATAAAACAGGATTCCATAATGGCAGAAACAACTAGAAATCCAGTCAAAACACATAGCAAGAGGTCTAGTATTTGTTGAGGCTCTACTACAACAGAGTAGCTTGCTTTGCATTGTTTTTCTCATTTAACCATCCAAGCAATAGTCCTACAGGAAGAATACTAACACCCCATGTCACATATGACTTAGAGAAGCTAAGGCCAGAGCAAAACATGGAAGTGATTGGCACAGCACACACTTGGTCAAGTCTGACTAAACAAACTCACGCTCTCCCTCAGTGTCACACAGCCTCTAAATTATGCATGATTTTATACCAGCTCTGTAAAGCACCTCCCTCCACTCCTACTATAATGACATTCATGGCAGGTTTCCAGGGCTCTGGAGTTCACTATCAATTCAAAGACAATTAAATTTATAAGGTGGAAAAATACGTAGATGGATTTAGTACAATGCTTGCTTGGTGTATAATTATATTGCAAATTTTAGGGGAATTTGAATGCTACTTCAATAGATGCTTAACTATTTTAACATTTGATCAGCTCTTTAGAGTTAGAAAGTAATAAGAAGAACACAAAATATTGACCTCAAGCAGTAGTAATTCTGAAATTGAAAGATTTAAAGCTTTCTGAAAGCCAAGTACCTTCTACATATCCCTAAATCCAGTTTGAAAGGATAGTAAGAGTAGCTGAAACAATAGCTCACACTTGCTGAATTAGCACGTGCTGAGCTCTGTCCTAAGCACATTCATCCTGAGAACAACTCAAAGAGGGCAAATTACTATACTAGCCTCATTATACAGGTGATGAGACTGAGACGCGAGAGGCTAAATAATACATCCAGGTATTGGAGCCTCTGACTCTGAAACCAGACCTCTCAGTCACTATGAACTAGAGGGTACAAAAGAGGCTGACAAATCCTGAAAGGAAAACCACTACACTGGGGATGTGTACAGGAATTTGGGGCCTCACGCCTAATGCTGGCCTTCCCTCCTTCCTGAGTGGTTCTTTTGGTCTCCTATCTGTGGTGGAAATTGGAGGTGAGATAGGTTTGAATCAGAAGCATAGCACAGCAATGGTTTGGGGAGCTAGACAAGCAATACCAAAAAAAAGCAAGAACTGAGTGAGGGGAAGATTATTCTCCACTCTTTTCCAGAAGAACAAGTACGCTCTTGCCATGGGAACTGCTGCCACTTGGGAATAACCCCAAAACAAGCAGTTTGCTAGCAGTAGGGGAAAACATCTTAAGATGGTGTCCCTTGATTTGTTGAATCTTGACTAAGTTGATACTGGTTGTCTGGTAAATGAGAATAACAAACAAGAACAGAGAGGGCTTTGAAATTTGGTCTTCCTTCCCTCAAAATCCTTCAAGGTTCTTGGATTAGCTGCACTTGGGCTGTCACTCTCCTTTGGGGCCTCCCACCACAGACATGGATACCAAGTGGTCTCTTCCCAAGCGCCCTGGCAGCCAGAGGTGTGGCTATGTAACCTAGTTCTGGTTTGTGAAAGGAGGAGGTCTGTCAAGCCTTTGTTTTCCTGATAAAAGAGTACAGATGTGGCTAGCATTGCCCTTCCCCATAGTTCTTGCTGAACAGTGGACCTCATGTCTGCCTCTGGGGCAGCCATCATGAAGCCATGAGGGAACACACCAGCTCAAAAGATGGGAGAGCAAGGAGCCCAAGTCTGATAACATGGTGGAACTGCTAACCTGCCCTTAATTGTCCACTTAAGGCTTCTTCTTATCCAATGAAAATAAACTCCTGCTGGGCCCAACCAGTGGCATGGTGGTTAAGGCAGCTGGATTCCCACATGGTCAACTCTGAGGTTCGAGTCCCAGACCCAGTGGCTTTAAGAACATTCTAGGTACATGTGCATACATGCCCAAAATCCCAAGAGGAAAATGGAGAAGAGATTGCAGTATGGCTATCCATTCTGAGGGCTGCTTTCTCACTTTCCCTCCTTTTCTCTATCTCTCTCAGTCTCTCTCTGGTGAGCACACATGCCCTACAGAAAATTAAAAAGGAAGGGAGAAAAATAAACCCTTACTTATTTAAGATGCTTTAAAGCCAAATTTCCTATTACTTGTTAGCTAAAAGCATTTTAATTCACACAATAACTTTACAGACTTCTAGCCATGTCCTCCTTTATACGTTTACCTCCCTCTTGAAGGCAGGACACAAGGACTGGGTACAGATGTCCAGGTACTGCCATGGTTAGTCCATGATGAGGACAAGACTTTCTGTGGAGCTGTGATGGACCAATGGTCAGCTTCTCACTCACGTTAGCAAGTGACCAGCCTTTTAATCAGTCACACCAGTTAAAACTACATTAACCAGCAAGCCTTATGGATGAGGCTGCATTTTTCCTGCATGGACAAGTTGGCTCACCTATCAAGAAAGGACAATTGTGTCTCAGGTCCAGAGTTCAAAGTTGCATACTTATATCGGATCAACAGATCTCTTCCTGCTCATGAACAGGGCTATTGGGGTTATAAAGATTTCAAAATGCATGTGCACACTGTGAGTCATCAGGCCATGCTGACAGAACTAGGAAGGACAATGTGGCAGGAACTGTGAAAGGATAAGAGGGTGGGTTTATGCAGGAGTTGAAGAAAAAAGCACCCTCCTCCTTACACAAAGAGATGAAAGAAAGGAAAAGAAAGGAAGAGAATAAAACTGACTTCTTTTTCATGACTTCTATGAGGGTGGTGATGGGACTAGGCCTTCCACATACATCATTTCTTCCTTTCAGTGCTATAAGGAAGTATCTCGAGAGAAGTACCAGATAGTGGCAAAGCATTTACAGATAGTACTGCCACAGGGCTAGAGCTAGCTCTGTTGGACCCACAAGCCAAGTTGTGGTACCGACTTCCAGGACAAACACATGCAATTGCCAGGCCCACCTGCCTGGGAGACTCCAGCAAGAGTTCAATGCATCAATGTTGTGGTATTTGTGCCAAACTCTTCCTTCCTGCT